ATCTTCTCCTAGCAATTTTTAAAGCTCTTACGTTTAACCTAGGCGAGAGCTCTCGGTATTGGCTGCCGCTTTTTTGCTCTCATTCGATTACACTATTACCTGGAAATTTTTTATTTTTAAATTTGGCATCTCCATTGCTATCGGCACGCCCCCTTTTTCTCTGTGGCGCGAGTTCTGGGACACCCTGTATATATATGATTGTAAAACGGAGTAATTACGTTCGTTTTGTGTATAATGTTCTACTGTTATGTATTTAAGAAAAACGGAAAAAAAGAAATAACAAACAAAAAAATATTAAAACCAGAACTAAAACGACCTGATTTTTAAAAACTATACATTTTAATGTATATTAAAACTAGTATGTTCTTTTTATATGGTATATTTATTCGCTGTGGCTCCCGTCCCGAGGCGGGACTTCAGTTCAGTCCCGATTGACGTCATAATTTTAAGATTTGTTATGTTATAATAAAATAATAATAATAAATTGTACCTGTATACATGTTAAGGGCACTTTAGATACGTCATAAAACCAAACCAACCCAAACTCAACAACACAACCCAACCGACCCCGCCCCATTGGGCCCCCCCCCGCCCCATTGAGCAAAAAACCCAACTAAAATGGGCAAATTTATGTTACGATAAAAATAAAACACTTTTTAACAAAGAAACAACAAATTTATAAAATAAAAAAAATAAAAAAAGTTTGACAACTTCTAGTGGGATCGAACCAGGTACTATGCTCCACACTTCAAAGTCCCACCACGTGACCAAGTACGGAACGCAGTCTTTTGATAAATTGTCATTTAAGGCTTTTCAGGTTATGTATCTGTCAAAGTATAGTCAATGCAAGAAATAGTATTTATACTGTTACCGTTTATGTTTAAGCGTTAAAAGTTTATAAATCTTTATAGTATCACAGTAACAATGGTTGGTTTAAGAGTTAAGGAGTATAAATACTGCATTTAATGAAATTCTAAAGTGTATGGTGCCAAATAAGTAATATTTTTGTGCATTTGGTTTACATATATCTGGTTTTATCCATTAAATAGTTTTAACTAAACGGCATTTATTAAAAAAAATTAGCTTGTCTATTATGGAATAAGAATATCTGTATCAAAGGTAGGTTAATATATTATAACAAAAAATATCTAATTTTGAAATTTTAAGGTTAGAAAAATCTATTTTGATCAAAATAAATAAGTATTTTGGATTATTTGGAAGAGTGTGTTAATATGGTCATATAAATATAGATATACTAAATAATTGTTGAATATGGTTCAAATTAAATTAAAGCTTTTATACTCCTAACAACAAAACTTGTGCATACCTCTCGGGATCCCTACTTTAAGTTAGATTATAAGGAAACAAACAATTTTTAGAGATACATGCAATGTAAAAATATTTAATACTCCCATAACATGTGATTTTTGAAATTTTTAAAAGTTATAATGATTTTTCGATGAAGATAAAATTCAGTTGAAGCTTTATACGTAATTGTATTAACAAAACTTTATGTAGGTATACTTTAAGCTGGATAAGAAAGACTACTACAAGTAAAAAATTAGATAGAGTATACTGTGGTTTTATTTAAATTTTAGAATTTATAAGGTTATTTATACCTACCTAATGATTGTTCGATGTAGATAAAATTTTGTCGAAGCTTTTATAGGTACTTGTATTGACACTATGGGTATATTAGCTGTCAGTGTAAGGAACTTTAAGAAGGTTAGCTATTGAATTTCCAAAAACACTTGTAAAAACAATTTACAGTTACAGTATGTACCTACCTAATGGTTTTATATTTGAGATCTCTCATGGTGCTTATTTCCAAGAGCAAGTTATTTAATTACAGCTTACATTTAGGTAGTTAATGACTAATTTGTTTTACTTGGGCATAAATATTTATTTATTTAAAGTAGGTACTTAAAACTTAAATATATTTCAAGATTTGTAAAAGTGTGTTTTATTCCAATTAAACCAACATTATAGGGGTTTATTTTAAAGGAATCCAAAACAACACCTTAAAATGAATAAAATTGTTTGTTTCCTTATAATCTAACTTAAAGTAGGGATCCCGAGAGGTAGGTATGCACAAGTTTTGTTGTTAGGAGTATAAAAGCTTTAATTTAATTTGAACCATATTAACACACTCTTCCAAATAATATATATTTCAACATCAACAGGCAATGCCCAATTACAGATGAGGATAAAATCCAAATACACATAATATTACATTAAATAATCCAAAATACTTATTTATTTTGATCAAAATAGATTTTTCTAACCTTAAAATTTTAAAATTAGATGATATTTTTTTTTATAATATATTAACCTACCTTTGATACAGATATTCTTATTCCATAATAGAGAAGCTAGATTTTTTTAATAAATGCCGTTTAGTTAAAACTATTTTATGGATAAAACCAGATATTAACATATTATGTAGACCAAATGCACAAAAATTTTACTTATTTGGCACTATACACTTTAGAATTTCATTAAATGCAGTATTTATACTCCTAAACTCTTAAACCAACCATTGTTACTGTGATACTATAAAGATTTATAAACTTTTAACGCTTTAAGCGTTTAAAAACATAAACGGTAACAGTATAAATATTATTTCTTTCATTGACTATACTTTGACAGATACATAACCTGAAAAGCCTTAAATGACAAATTTTCAAAAGACTGCGTTCCGTACCTGGTCACGTGGTGGGACTTTGAAGTGTGGAGCATAGTACCTCTCGCATGCCAAGCGACCGCCCTACCATCTAAGCCATCGAGCTTGACACATATTATAAAATCTCGGGGAATAAAAACGGATTTACAGTGTGTGACGTCAATCGGGACTGAACTTAAGTCCCGCCTCGGGACGGGAGCCACATCGATATTTATTTGATGTATACCAATATCTCAGTTATTAGACATGGGACCCACACCAAATTTATAATAGTTTATAATGACATTTTATTAAAATAAAAAAATATTTAAAATGGTATAAAACCTGTAATCGGCCATTTCAAGCGGATGGACGGGACAAATCACAAAACTGTTTTTATAAAAAAAATTGTAGCTAATTTATTATATATTATTTTTCCATCAAAATTGTCAAAAAAATTCTTCTATTATAAGGGTATACATTAAATAAAAAAAAATCGCAAGAAATATTTTATAAAAGTAGAGATAATTTCAATAATTGACAGGGATGGACGGGACAAGATAAATCTTTTTTTTGTCCCGTCCACACCTTTCAATTATTAAAATTATATCTACTTTCATAAAATATTTCTTGAGTTTTTTTTTATTTAATGTATAACCTAATAAAAGAAGAATATTTTTGCCAATTTTGATGCCAAAATATTATATAATAAATAATCTACAATTTTTTTTTATAAAAACAGTTTTGTAATTCGTGCGTTTCGCGCGCTTGAAATGGCCGTAATATTTGGATTTTTTAAATAAAATTTTAAATTTGTCGATAAATTATAGTACATAATAAATTGCACCACTTTAATTTGAATTATCTTAAATAGGGGGGGCCTGGAGGCGGGTGAGGCGACAGGAAAAACTAACTTTTTTTCGCAAACTTCAATTTAAATTCTGTTTGCGCCGAACTTGTCTATTTAATGTCATTATAAACTATTATAAATTTGGTGTGGGTCCCATGTCTAATAACTGAAATACCTATTTGTATACCCAAAATCTACCAGCCGCCACTGATCCCGGGATCCCGAAATCCCGGGATCGCGTAAAAAATCCGATCCCGAAAATCCCGGGATCAAAAGTCCCAATCCCGGGATCTTAGTAATAAGCTATAAAGAATAAAATATACTTTTTTTTCAAGTGTATGACAATTTTTATATTATAAACTCATAAGCATATGAGAAATACTTCATTTTTGTTTGCAGTCCAAAAGTCAAATTATTATACCCCGCCGTAAAATAATGAAAATACATTGGTTCCATCTATCGTGTTTAGCATGAAATCAGCAAAGAAACTGTAAAATTATAGCTCACTGTAGAATAAATTCATGATCATAACCTATAATATAACATTTCAAACGTCAAACCTGAAAAAATGTCACAAACTCGATAATTTCAATGTAAGGGGGTACATCCTCAATTGGAACTCACCAAGGCCTGATTGATAAAATAAATATAATTATTTGTTAATGGGGGTAAACTTGGGTACAATGTGCCTACGAATTCTTGAAAACCAATCCTTCAACTAGTGTGAAGTCCGAAAGATATCGTTCGTTAGTTTGTTCCTTTATTTTAAATTGGTTTAAAAAAAAATGATATATATTTTTGCGGGATATCGGGCGTTACCTTTGGTCCCGAAAGTCCCGGGATTGGAAAAAGGGCTTGACACCCCTAATATTTACCTACCTTTAAATTTATTAGACAGATTATAAAGTTAAGCAGTAAATTTAGTGAAGTGAATATACTGGTCCTAAATTTCTATTTGTCGCCAAATCCATATATTAATAACCAAATCAATCCGATAAGCGTCATTAAAAAACGGATGCATGAAAATTAGAACAATTCTTGTCGGACGATTTCATTGAAAAACGGACAAACGGATACATGAAATTTTAGCTTAATTCGTGGACGATTTTTAATTTTAAAAAATCAGTGGTTTACTTCTAGGTGTTTATCGTAGTCTATGACGTAGATAAAGTATGGTATGCAACTCGTGTATCAAAAACTTGTGTATTAGATGACGTTTATAAAACTACATATACAGGGTGGTGCGAATTTCCTTTTTCACCATTGGCATCTCATGAGATACAAAGTTGGTTAAATTAAAAAAAAGTTCGCGCTTTTTTAGGACCATTTCAAATATGAAACGAATTCTACATTTTCCAATGTTCCTATTAACATTTTTAATGCAAAAAATATCACTTGGTTTACAATATTGCATTGCATTGGATGCTATTTAAACCTCAAAATAAAATTTGTTTCAGTGTAAATTATTTTAAATTAAATTTTTTGTAGGTTACTATTCTTGGAGGAACACTACAAATGGTTCATGGTTCATCCAGGCTCTTTGTGAAGAACTAAGGGCTAGGAGTGCAAATGATGATCTGCTAACAATTCTAACCTACGTTACACAAAGAGTGGCTTTAGATTATGAAAGCAACACCCCAGACAATTCCACCATGCACCGTCAGAAACAGATACCCTGCATAATGAGCATGCTGACCCGTCTGGTCAGGTTCAATCCAGGGTACGGTAACCACTGAGCAGTAGAGTGTTTGTGATGAAACTAATCAATTTTATTAACATTAATTTTTATATATCTATATAAAGCATGACTGATGGTTGCTTTTTATATAAATTAAATTCCTATGTAATTTTAAAAAAATGTACCGTATTGTATTTGTAATTGATTGTGGTGGGTTGTATGGAATTGTTGAACTGGTCTAAATTTGTCTGTATTTATCGAGATGAAGGCTGTAATTTTACAATCTAATTAAATATGCCTTTTTGAACTAAAAGTTAAACTGTGATAAATAATTGCAATGAATTTAAATAATTATTACAATTAAAATTTAAAAATGGGTTAAATTTTACATGTAATGTTAATAGTTTATTAATTGAAAACCCCAAACTTTTAACCTTAACTTTTAGTCAATTAATTGTAATTGTGGATAGGTAATTATGCATGAATTTATAGATCAAACAATAAAATTATAAATTATTGTAGAAAAAAACTAAAAAATATTTTTGTAGGTATGTTTAAACTTTGCATGCATTTTAAATAGTTTATGGTGCCGGAAATGATTTTCCTGATCTAATTAAAGTCAATATTAAAAACTGCCAAACAACAATGATCTCTAAAAATATTTATACATTTTTACAGATCGGACTCTGAGGGTAACATTTTAACAACAGAAGTAGAGAACAAAAATAAAAACAAATTTACCGCAATTTTTAATAGCCTAGGCAATATAAGCAAAACCTAAATAAAATATTTATGAAATATAATTGTTAAATCAAACCATTTTCTTACCTATAGTTATAAGTATATTTTTTATACATAAATTTTATGGTATTTTATATTGTGCCATTTTTTGTTTATTCTTAATTAATTTTGTAGTTTGTAAGTATTTTTTTGTATTAGCAATATTTATTGTTATATTTTGCTCACTGTATTTAAGGTACTATTCTTAAAAAAAATATAAATATATTTAAATTAATTATGTATTTTATTCCTACAAATAACAAATTAAAAAATAGTATTTCTTACCAATACAACACAAAATCAATCTAAATCACAACTTTTTTGTTCATTATTCAAACAATTACTAACAGTTTTATTACACATTTCCAAATGTGTTTACAGAAAAATTTAAATTCACCTACAAGGTCATTAAGTAGGTTTTAAAGTGCATTTATGCGTAATTCTAATTAGCAACCTGCAGTTTCAACAATTATGCAATAACTGAAATCCCTATAAAATGTATTTCAAACGAAATAATCTCATATAAATCCTAAATAAACAAAAATGTACCACAATGCAAATCATTATAAAGCCAGGTATACGTTTTAAATTTGGCGCTTACTCCTCAGTCGGTAAAACAGTCACGCAAGTCTATTAGTACCACTTTTTACCGTCGAAGCGTTCTTTTCGCGCAGTGAATTTGTCAATCAAAATGGTACGTAAATAAAATCTGAAAATAATTCGGCCATCCTAGTGATATTTCATGAAAAAATAACATAATTGAATCAGTTAAAGTGTCTGCCAAAGGACTGTGTTCGAATTTTGTGATTTTGGTTTTAATAATACAGTTTTGGTGCACTTTATTTTGAACTTTCAGCATGGTAAAATGACAGCTCTATTTTCTGTTTAAAAATTGTGTTTTAAGGCCTTTAAAGCCATTGGATAGAAATAATATTTTTTACGATATCCTAATGGTGTTAACTTAAGTTGTTTATAAAGTGTTTACTTGGATAATAATGTTGTTTCATGAAATATTTCACGTTACCAATCTTAACCTTAAAATGCCGACGATATTGTTAATTTATGGATTATATTTTTTTAGACTGAAGGAACGGCTACAATTCGTACTCGTAAATTTATGACCAACAGATTGTTGGCTCGTAAACAAATGGTTGTGGATGTTCTGCACCCAGGCCAACCCTCTGTTAAAAAAACAGACATTAGGGAAAAATTGGCTAAAATGTACAAAGTAAGTGTTTGTATTATAGTACATTAAATTGTATGCTAAAAATATTGTTGTTTTAGGTAACCCCAGATGTAGTATTTGTATTTGGTTTCCGTACAAACTTTGGTGGTGGCAAATCAACAGGCTTTGCTCTCATCTATGATACATTAGACTTTGCCAAGAAATTCGAACCCAACCACAGGTTACAGCGTCATGGTTTGTATGAAAAGAAACAACAGACACGCAAACAACGTAAAGAAAGGAAGAACAGGATGAAGAAAGTGCGTGGTACTAAGAAGACGAAAGTTGGTGCAGCAGCCAAAAAGGTAAGCAATTTTCTTTTTATTTACTTTTTTGGTTAATTTTAATCTTAATTGAATTCATTTACAGGGAGGAAAGAGATAAATTCTCTCTAGGTATTTTATAGTTTAAGGAGGCTTTTCATTAGTTAGTTGAGTTTCCCCGTAATTTTATTGCTCGATTTTCCAATTTAAACTAAACAACCTTTTTGAGTACTTATATTGTTACATTTTATAGGTTTTAGTTGTTTTTTTCATTATAGGAGGGACACCAAATAATTTTTGAGAATTGTTTGATATAAAGAAGGGGTTAAAGACCAATGAAAAATCGCAAACATTAAATTTTATCTTAAGGAAAAAAATTTACTCTATATTTACATTGATATTATGAAAAATAGAAATCTAACCAAACAGTTTGTTTTTAAACCTACATTAATTTTTTCTTTTACTTTTAAAATAGTAATTTTAAACACCACTTAAAAAATAACTCTTATTTATGTCTTTTACCTGAACTTCATATCATACCCAAAATTAGGCCCTTTTTGGGCAGCCATAATGGTGTCCCTTTAACCAAAGTTAATAACTATAATGAATAGTTTTCCCCTGTTTTTTTCCTTAAATTTACCTATAGGATAAATAAGATTCTAATATTTTTTGTTTATTTTCAGTAATGGGTACATTTATCCAGGATTTGCTCTTCGTTGTGTTGTATTTACATTCAATGGACAAAAATCGTTTTTATGTATGTGTGACACAATAAACACCTACGAAGATCAATATTTTGTATGTATTCTCACTTTCCATAAAATATATTTAAGTTAAAAAAATGCAATGTTTTTTATTTAAATAAGAATGCCCATTTAATTTGTAAAGTATTTTTATTTTAAATAACAAACAAAACTTAGGGGTATACAAAAACTGGACACTAAAATTAAACAAAATTATTATTTTATGTTGTTTTATAAATTACATCTTACCCCTTCTTGGTGTGAAAGACATTTTAAAAATTCTGCAGCCAAATCACATTCAGTTTGAAATGTTCTCTGTACACCTAAAAAATGTTTTTTTTGTATAGGTTTATTAAAAAGGTTTTAAAATTAAGTACCTTCTTCATTAGTAGTGTTCATTGATTGAAAATCGCCATTAAAATTAATCTCTAATCCTAAAAAAAATCAATTTTATTTTAAGGTTTGTGAGTCCAAAAAATAAAACCTGGAACAGTTTTAAACTTACCTGTTGCCCTAGATAGTTCTTCATTACAAATATTTAATTGATTTAATAATTGTTTAGCCTGTTCATATATCACCTCACTTTCAATCCATTTTTCGAAATTCTCGTAAATAGGAAAACCGTTATTTATCTAAAATGATACAAGTCAATATAAAAAGTTAAATGCATTTAATGTCTACTTACAAGCTTTAGTTTAGCTAGAATGCATTGGTAATAAGTACACTAAAACGAAATAATGTTAAAAATCCAGAGGTGTTTAAACAATAAATTTTACTTTTTGCTCTTCATTTGTTTCTTCGGTTTCCATTCCCAACTTTTTTTTGGCAAAGTTTAAAACGCTTTTAGATGTTTGTTGTATTCTTTCAACCAATTCTACCTCTGATTTCCAGCATAGTTCCTCTTTGGTGATCAAGTCATTTGGTCTATTACAATTTTCAGTAATCTAAACAAATCCTTAAGTATACAAAACCAATATAATTTATATAAAGAAAGAAAACAAAGCAATACTTGCCACCAAATTTATTGCTAAACAAAGCAAGAACCATATACGCATAATTTTAAAGTAACGCAATCGGTTGTTATGTTTAAATTAAACTAACAACAGTGGTATTTTGTTGTTAGTTTTATCCTTCGTTTTTAATAAATTATGTATTATTAAGGCATTTAAATTATAAGGATTTGTTGTTTTATCCGGTTTACCATCGTTATTTATTTTTGATTAATTCATTACTAAAATTATAATAACACAGTTCAACACGATTTTCCTCCCATGAAAAAGATTTTAAAAATAAAGGTTAAAAAACATACACGGGTGTCACCGTTTCACAAAATCATGTCATTTTTTATACAGCCATTCTTATTATTTTAACCTATAGATATTTTTAATTCTCTATTTGTTATAAATCATTTTTTCTTCAAATATTGTAGGTTTTTACATAATACAACAACTATAAATAAAGAAAATAATAATTTTAATTTTTTTTCAATAAAAAAATATTTTCTGTTTAATTTTTGTGATTTTTTTTAACATACCAAAAGATTTGTTTATCTTATATTCAATAAATAAATTTTGGTCTTTTAGTTTAACAATTATACATTGCTTTAAAATCTATAGTGGTATCACAACCTAAAAAACACCACTTGATATACAGGGTGCTTCACATTTGTGGTCCATTAAAAGTTTCTGGGGAACGGAAAAAGATATCGATTTGAAATTTTAAAAGCGTTTATAATGCATTTAAGTCTATATTTCTAAAATATTTTTAACAAAATGCAACTTCCTGTTTGGTCGGAAGTGACATCTACTTTACTTCAAATGGACACTCCATATATTTTTACATTTTTAAATTCTACATAAAATTCAGAATAAAAATTTGATAAATGCGCGTGAATCAAAAATAGCCTAAAATTTTTTTCTTTTAGGTTTGTGGACATGGGGGTGGAATTTTTGGAATCTTAAAAGATTGTTTAAAAGATTCCATGTCAATTTTTTTTAAATTTGAAGGTCAAAGTTTAGAATAAAAAAAATATTTTTTTTAAAATTTTTTAAGTTGGCTTTTTTACTTGGGTATCATTTAAATAATTTCTTTAAAGTCTAAACAAAATTTAAAAAAAAATTTCGATGTCGTGTAACCCTGATTCTTTAAAAAGGTAAATTAATATGTCTATAGACATGTCACAATACACGACATATTTTTTTGGAAATTTTACGCTTTACAAAAAGGTCGGTGGCTAAAGTTTGAAATATATAAAATAAATAAAAATAAGTTATCATTTAGGCAGGGTTAAACAACATCGGAAAAGAAATATTTTTTAAATTGTTTTTAGACTAATTCCCTCCACCCACATAACCCAAGTTTTAATAAGCAAAAATAAGAGTTTTGAAAGTCTTAAAAGCTCAGAATAAGACTTATTGTCGGAGAAAGTCAGAAAAAGATTTATTAAGTCGCTTCCCAGCAAGCACAAACATCCTCAGGACGTCCTTGGACCAGCCTAAATGTCCCAGAATGGGATGATCCTATATGGACTTCCTGAGGACGTCCATAGGTTGACCTTATCGGACATTAGATCTTTTTTAGGTCCCATTTTGGGATATCCTAGGAACGTCATTTAAGGATGTCGTTAGGACCTAATAATATCCTAATTAAAGCCTAAAATGGGCTGATCATAGGACTAATCCCAGAGACATCCTCAGAATGTCCCGTTAGGTTTTGGTAAACATTTGGTATGCACATTTTTCTATAAGAATATTTTACCCATATAAATAATAATACCTACATTTTTTTACATAACTTATTTTGCAAAGGCACATCTTAAAAATGTCAATCAATATAATTATAATATTATATTATATAGATTTTTTTAAGTTTATAAACGACTTGCATACTATATTTTTTCTGCGACAATCACAAAAATTAAATAACTTTCAACAATTATATATAAATAATTATTTATAAAATCTGACATCGACCAGTCTATTCTAACCTCACTTTTTAGACCCTTTATTTTGATGGTCATTGTTTCGCAGTTGACAACTGCAATTAACTTCAACCCATGACCAAAAAGTCCGAATGCCATTGCTGCCAACTTCAACCTGTGAATAAAACGCCATAAAGCCACAACTTGTCAATGTGTATTTAAAATATCATGGAAACATGTACGATAATCGGCGTTTTAAAGGCGGGAGTTTAAAAACAATATTATATTTTGTGGTCATATTATGACCACAAAATATATTTTGTATACAACTGGATAGCAGCCAACTTAATACGCATGCGCAGAAATGACGGCTGGTAATTAATAATTGATCAAACACCTTGTTTGTAAGGTATTGATACATTTAGAGTTTTATAAATAATAAATAAGGTAGTAAGCGTCAGTTAACCTTAAAAATGTAATCACAAACGCAATCTATAACTTATTTAATAGTTTGTGTTACCGATTGTTTTAAATTTGCCGCCTTACGTTATGGTGGTAACCATTGTCTATTGTGGTAACCAAAGATGGTGGTAACACTGGATGGAGAGAAAGCTAAGATGACGTATAGCGTCCTTTAGTTGTTTGTCGCCTTTTTGTTAGAAAGAATCATAGATAACACTGTGAAAGGAATTCTTTGTCTGTGCCGTGAATTCTTTTTCTGTGTCGTGAACCTGGTTTAAGGCCGTGAATCTCGTGTTCTCCAAGTGTGTTTGTTATAATATAATATTATATAATAGAACACTATAATATTATAGTGTTCTCTTCGAAATAAACCTTAAATACTAATTTGCTTGAAGATTGAAGTGAACAACAATCATAAAATTCTGGTGAGTTATAATAAGCATACTTGTTAAAAAATAAAAAAATCGTATTTAATTTGTTTCAAAATTTTCAGAAGAAAAAATGCCACTAATTTGCCAATTTAACCGACTTTGTAGCTGCAATAATAATGGAGTTAAAATGGTGAGCAGATAACTTTGGACACTGTGATACATTAATAATACTATTATAATATATATATTTATTTAGAATTATTATTTATTTTATATAATTGGCTGTGTAAAATTATATATATGTATACAGAAATAAAATAATATATTTTATAAAGTAATAAAATGGTATTTGATTGATAAAATGTATCCCCAACAAATAACAAGGCCATTCAGAGGATGTCCTCAGGACATCCCATTCCTGGACCAACATATACCCATGGGACTTTCAGGGGACATCCTTAGGATGTCCTATTCCTGGACCTATATGGACCTAGGGATATCCCTAGGATATCCTAAAGGCCATTTGCGGGACGTCTGTAGGCTGGCCTTTTTTGCACCACTCGGCCATGGTTGGGATGTCCTGAGGAGGTCTGAGGGCGTCCTAGGATATCCTTGGGATATCCCAATATCCTGTAAGGCTTTCCTTAGGACGTCCTTAGGACAGACTTGTGCTAGCTGGGTTATAACAACACAGAAGCAATGTTTACAGTAGGTAAGCAAAGATTATTTTAATTTATCACAATAAAACAGTTGAGGCATCTTTTAAAATTTCATTAATGGTAATTTTTTTACCCTTTTCGTGAAAAAAATTACCTATAATGAAATCTTAAAAACTTTATTTCCTGAAGAATTTAATGGTATATAATGGTATCTTTATGATAACTCCAAGTAACCCAATACCTTATGAAGGAAACCAAATTGGTTAAAAATTTAATTTTTATTTTTAGTAATTACACAAATTTTTTATATCAACAAAATTACTTATTTTAATAGAAAATATATAAAATAAAATTACACAATTAAGAAAACATTTAAATAAAATTAAAAACTCCAATCAAATATCAAATAATTATTATTAACCAAAAAATGAAACGGCCGATTGAACAGCCCACTTGACCCCCTCGCTAATTGCCGTCCGTATTAATCCACTTGAGAAATTTCTGCAAAAGTTCCATTACGAACTTGGCAGCCTTGTCGAAAAACCCGGGTTTCTCCCCTTCGTCCTCCATTCCGACGTCGACCCCCTCCACAGAGATGTCAGATTGTCTTTTTAACCGGAGATGCTCATCTTCGACCACCGCACCCTTTGCAATTAATGCATTAAATTCCTTGTCTTGTTTAAGGAATTCGGAGAACTTATGTGTCAGTTCTTGACTGTTGTGGATTGGTTTTGGAGCCTTGGACAATAAAAAAATGATAAGTCAACTCAAAATATTTAAAACAACACCAAATAATTTTCGAATAATATTTTTAAAAATAAATAAATATAAAATTAACTTTAATACCGGCGCATTCACCATTAAAAAAAAATAAGCATAAGTAAGCACTACAAAATTCAAATGATGTTTTTTGACCAACTTAATTAAAAACAAACAAACAATGCTAAAAGGAAGTCTAAAAAAGTATCAACGGAAAATGTCAATTAACAGGAGAATTTATTTGATGTCAATGTTTACACTGCCTATCATTAATTTAATGATAGTAAACTAGATCGAATAATATCCGTTTTTAATTTATGATAGACCTTGTTTAGTTTTTGAGCAAATATTTATTTTTATTGACGATGTTTAATCTAAAATCTAAACAATTACCTACACGAAGAAAATGAAACAGTAACCAATGGTTACTAACCATTGACACAACACTAATCCACAATGTCAATGGACTATTTGAAATCATACAATTTCTAATAAACCTCACGGGTTACTTTGACAACAGCAATGGTTAATTTTGTCACATCAATAAGAAGTGCCAGGAACTATTAAAGTGAACAAAACTATTTCCAATACTTACTTTATTGAGTTGATATATTTTTCTGCGCATCAAAACTTTTATTTTCTCAGTTTTCTCATATTGCCTAAATTCTTATGATTCATCAAAAATGAAAATAGTTAACTTAATACTATTTTTTAAATTTAAAATTTATTTTTTTCAGGGCTGTCATCAAACTGTAAAATTTTAATTTGTCGGTCATGTTAAATTAACCTTAATATTAAAATTTGACAGTTTGATGACAGACCTGATAGAATAGGGTTTATATTTTACAATAAAGTAAAATGGTTGTTCTTAGTACTTAAAGGCCTAATTTGAGGCTCTGTAAGAAACACAATGTTTAGAACAACAAGCAAAAGAATTGTAAACAAGCTAAAAATGGCCGCCGTTCAAGACTATGCAGTGTTGCAGTGATTTTTAGTATGCGCGAAACGAGATAGAACAGACTAGGGAATGCAATCTTTCAGGAAAATGTTCAATCTTGGTATAGCAAGATTTAAGAGGTGTAATCTCGCAAGATCTCGGTATTAACCAATTGAGGCGTTTCTCGGAAAAACATCATTAGTCCAATATCGTCGAAATTTAGATATTAGCACCAACTGTTTCCTAACCTTCATATATACGTATACAAATAAGTGTTTCTCGTAAAAATGTCATAGGTTCCATAATAATTAAATATGAAATTTAGCTTGTTCTTCTAAAAACATCACAAGTCCACTCCGTTTCGTCTAAGAAAGTCACATGTACACAACATGTGACGTTTTTGGACACTCTAGAAAAGCTTCTACCTCTTTTACATTACCACAGCAATAGAAAATTTTATTATAACTTGATAAAAGAGCAGAAGACCATAGCACCTGACAGTCCTGATAACACGGTCGACAACGATGATAACAGCAGTGGATGCGAAGACTGAGTGTTGCAGTAATACAGTTTTTAGTTTTTTTCATTTATTTTGTTACTTAGAGTTATTATATTTAGTTTGTAGTGTTTGTAGTAAGGAGAATTGTTTGTTTTTTTCTTCTAAAAACCTCACATGTTCATGTATTTTTTGTGTTTTTTTCATATTCGTTTGAAAATACAAACATGAGGAATTCTGGAAAAAGTATCTTACATTTTTTTACAGGTAATAAATATGTCAATAAAGTACTTTGGTCAAAAATGGGAATGTCGGAGAGTTTTTTTCATTTTCCCAAATATGGTAATTTTGGACTAATGATGTTTTTCCGAGAAACGCGTCAATTGGTTGCTATGCGAAAAATAATTGTCAATGTTGACGTTTCCAATTTTAAAATAAAAATGTCAAAAAATAGCGTTTATGGTAAAAAAAAATCATGCAGAAATTGAATCGGCAGTTAATTCTAATTAAAAAAAAATATTCGTGAAATAGTCTTGCCGAATACCACTTGTAATAAAATTTTCCCTGAAAAAATTTTTGATTTTTATTTACTCAAGATTTTTTCTTCATAAAGGGGGTAGCGGGTTAAGGGGGGTCTGGCGCCCCCCACCGAATCTGGTAAAATCGTTCCAAAAATCTTGAAGAGGGTCGAAAAACAAGCAGTATAAGCTTTTTACCGACATTACAACCCCAAACGAAAACACAGTAATGGCGAAAAATATGATTTTTTGTGATTTTTATTTTTTTCAACCAGTTTAATTTATTTTTAAATGGTTTAAACGCAATTAAAAAACTGTTTTGGATGTATGGTAGTCCCCTGATTTTTTTCAGATTTTTTGGTCAAGTAAAAACATGTGAATTTTAGGTTTAAATGCGAAAAAATCGTGAAAAACGCGTCATTTTCAAGATTCAACCCTCTAATTTTTAGGGTTGTTTTCATTTTCCTGAGGGGTGCTGTATAGTATAGATAGCGACAATTGTCCTCTTTTGAATGCAGGCAACTGGACTCAATTTGGTCAATTCTGGTGAGCGGGGCGATTTTTTGAAAAAAACTCGAGTTTTTAACTTTCGGTAAATTACGGCGCGTACTTGGTATAATGCGTCTTTGCTATAAAAAATACATCTCTATAGAGGTCTGTGATAGGGGTTTTTGACAACAAATTCACCCATAAATATTTATTAACACAGGTTTGATAATGTAAAAAATATCATTGAATCACAGCATTTAAACAATTTTAATATCGTGTTCAACTAATATAATCAATGAAATTGAATTTTCTGGTATAAATCATATTTTATTCAAGCTTACGTAATAGTCATACAGTAATATAAAATAGCATAATACTTTTTTACAGAGCTAAGTTAACAATTTTACAGTTTTAATCCTCGTCACTATCTTCTTCAATAACATGTTCAACGCTTTGAACAGAGAAAAGATTTGTGAGAATCTGTGCTGGACGAATAATTCGCGACAAATATCTTTGTTGTCAAAAAATTTTTTTGACATCAAATTCGTGATCAGCGACCTCAAAAACCTCTATAGAGATGTATTTTTTATAGCAAAGACGCATTATACCAAGTACGCGCCGTAATTTACCGAAAGTTGAAAACTCGAGTTTTTTTCAAAAAATCGCCCCGCTCACCAGAATTGACCAAATTGAGTCCAGTTGCCTGCATTCAAAAGAGGACGATTGCCGCTATCTATACTATACAGCACCCCTCAGGAAAATGAAAACAACCCTAAAAATTAGAGGGTTGAATCTTGAAAATGACGCGTTTTTTCACGATTTTTTCGCATTTAAACCTAAAATTCACATGTTTTTACTTGACCAAAAAATCTGAAAAAATTCAGGGGACTACCATACATCCAAAACAAATTTTTAATTGCGTTTAAACCATTTAAAAATAAATTAAACTGGTTGAAAAAAATAAAAATCACAAAAAATCATATTTTTCGCCATTACTGTGTTTTCGTTTGGGGTTGTAATGTCGGTAAAAAGCTTATACTGCTTGTTTTTCGACCCTCTTCAAGATTTTTGGAACGATTTTACCAGATTCGGTGGGGGCCGCCAGACCCCCCTTAACCCGCTACCCCCTTTCGCTCGTGGCATTAATTTAAAACCACTCGCCTAGCGGCTCGTGGGCTTAAAAACTAATGCCACTTGCAAAATTTCCAAGAAAAAAACATACATCGTATAAAAATCAAAAAAATTATCATCAAGCTATTGAAGCAAAAACCATAAACAAGACTAAAATTTTTATTGAAAAAACTATACATTATTTTGAAAATGACTTCTCAAAAAACACAAAACACACATGGAATGCGCTGCGTCCTAATCTCGCAAATCTTGCGAGATCGCGCATGATTTTCGTGCAAGACTAATCTTGCAAAATTAGTGCGAGATCTTGGTATTTCGAGATCTTGGTATACCAAGATTGCATTCCCTAGAACAGACCTTGTTGTTTGGATTGTGATTATTGATAATAATAATAATAATAAATATCGCCGCTACACAGTAAAAATTTTATGTATTTATTTGTCAATTTTAACCAAATATTAACCAGATTTTATGTTAATTTAGGTCCACATAATTTTATGTTAAGTTAACAACTGTAATCTGTTAACTAATTAAATAAGTACAAACGTTTTGTAGATTTAATAACAAAATTGGAAATTTAAATGAAAAGAATTTTGATAAGAAATGTTGCTTTATTAATCAATTTCCTAAACAAAAAAATTAACACATACCTACATAAATGAACACAAACATACCATACCTAAACACAATCAAATAACACACCACTTTGAAATCATTAAATTATAAAGAAATGTGTAAGTTGTAGTATACTACAACACTCACTGGTGTATTTCGTAACTTTAACCCACTTCACTGTATCCCCTAATTTTAGTTTGAAAACCAGTGATGGCATCTTTTTTCGGATCCTTCACACATTCGTTAAATAGGTATAAGGAATTAGAATAACAATAATAACAGATTTCTGGTAATATATTAAAAACACTCACTGGACAGTTGTTACGAACATGTTACGAATTAAAATAAAGTAAGCAGAAACATAAGATGCAGAAGCTGTTGAAATTGATGCAAAATACGAAATAATTTGTTAAACATTAACAAAATAATCTGTAACCTTTTAAATTAACAAAATGATTACAAAATTGCATATTACCTTTACAAAACTTTTGGTAAAATATTTCTTTGTTAAAATAATTACAAACCCTGTTTTTCTACAAAAATATTGTTAAAACGTTAAAAAATAAAATTAACAAACTACAAACTCATGTTAACAAATCTGATTTTTATAACAGTGTATTAATTAAAATAATACAAATTTTTGAAAAAAAAAATTTCGACTAGAAAAACCGAGAAACTAGAGAAAAACTTTCTAAAAACGAAAAATTCCCTGCAGTTGGCAACGCATATACAACTTTTATATTTATTGAGTTTTTATTTACAAGACCAATTTTAAGTAACAATTTTTTAAAAC